CTAGCCCTGGCCAAAAACTGCAAACAAACAAAAAAAAAAAGAATGATCTTTGATGACAGTGCTTTTAGAATCCTGAGCACTTTTACCTTTCCACGAGGGTCTAAATGATACTTATTGTTAGTAAAAGCTATTCATTTGGAAATGGGTCTTGAATGACTCATCCTCTGGAATTCACCTGTGCTTTTGCATAAGGAGTTGTTCCTTAGGTTCTTAATTTCTTTTACAGACTCACCCAATACTTCCACAAGCTCTACAGTTTGTCCACCCCTGGGTCCATGTTACCACCTGTCTTCTGATTATTATCTTCCCCTTAAACCTTCTTTTGGGTACACAGTGTGGCTTAGGTTACTTCTCTGGTAACTTAATTCTTTGCCTCCTGGAATTATGCTGTGAGTTCAAGAAAGTGGCCCTATACCTGTCTGTTGCAAGAATAAGTATAAAATAGAAATACCAGACTGAATACTCCAATTTGAATATGAAGAGAAAGATTTTACTCTCTTCCTTTTGCTTAAAGATTTTAATTTAGGATATTTTGTGTGTAAATGTTTTCTCTGCCTGTTAGAAATATATGTAAATAATTTTATCAGATAAACAGACTTTTGTCTTTTTTTAAATTCAGGACTATGTTTCTCTAGGACCCAGGAGTTATGATTTTGAATTATAAATAGTTGAAAAGATAGCAACCTTTGCCAAAGTTTCTGATGTGGTGTAGGACCTGCCTTTAGAAGGCACCTGGCTCCAAATCTTCTATCCTGTAGACATAAACTTCCTTTCTTCTTCTGAATATCATCAACTAGCAAACACAAATGTGCTTTCCAGTTAAACGGTGAATTTAGGGTGTACTATATATGAGAAATAGTACTGTCAGGACTTGGCACCCATAGCTCAGTGAGTAGGGCTACACTGAGGCTGGCAGGTTTGAGCCTGGCCCGGGCCTGCTAAACAACAATGACAACAGCAACAACAATAACAAAATAGCTGGATGTTGTGGTGGGCACCTGTAGTCCCAGCTACTTGGGAGGCTGAGGCAAGAGAATCAATTGCTTAAGCCCAAGAATTTGAGGTTGCTGTGAGCTATGATGGTACAGCACTCTATTAAGGGTGACATAATAAGACTCTGTCTCAAAAAAAAAATTTTTTTTTTGCAATGAATATTTTGTAAAGATCCTTTTAGCTTCCTTTTCCCATATTCCCTATGTATGGTGACTTTAGGGATGACTTTGAGGACCATTTGTGGATTTCTACAGAAATATCTTCATAGGGCCACAATCAGCCATTTTCTCTCTGTCTTTCAGTCATCCTAATATCTTTAGACCTAAAACTGACCGAGAGACTATGGGGCCCCGGAACTCAACTTGGATCACAGATACACATTTTATTGAGTACACCTGAGAATTTCCACTTTCTCATTTTTATTTTTCCCTAATTCCCATGAATGTGCAGAGGGCACATAACCATGTTTCCAAGAAGTTCCAAATTCTGAATCCAGGTCCTGCCTCAGACACGGCTGCCTTCTCTAGCCTCTGGAAACTTTGAGGGGCCAGCAGACAATGCTAAGTTTAAAGATTGTGATTTTTGGTCTTCCTTGAACCAAAGATATTTGTGTTGTTAAAAAAGTGTTGAGCAGAAGGGACTCTGTCCTGTGTTTGCTTTCACCAGCTGAGTGCTGCTCTAGTCTAGGAGGAGTAATCCCTGAAATTGTTAAGTCACTTCATACACCTACTTAAAACCTGTGAAATTGGCAGCACCCTGTAGCTCAGTGAGTCTGGCACCGATCACATACACCTAGCTGGCGTGTTTGAACCTGGCCTGGGCCAGCTAATCAACAATGATAACTGCAACAACAACAGAAAATATATAGCTGGGAGTTGTGGCAGTCACCTGTAGTCTCAGCTACTTGGGAGGCTGAGGCTAGGGAATCGCTTAAGCTCAAGAGTTTGAGGTTGCTGTGAGCTGTGGTGCTATAGCACTCTACTGAGGGTGACATAGTGAGACTGTCTCAAAAAGAAAAAAAACAAAAAACAGTAAAATGAAGAGATTGCAGACTAATGTTTCAAGGACCACCTCATGTTCCTTAGCTGAGCAAAAGGTGATGAAAGGGATAAGGAGCTTAGGAGAAGTATGTGTAGGAGCTTTCTATGTGTAGGTCAGCCTGTCTTGTTGCAATGGTTTCTTGCCATCTGGCTGTCTGGCTGACATCAGGTAGACCACAACAGAAATGGTGGCTAACTGCTCAGCATTTTCCTTCGTGGGGAATTCTGCAATCTTAGTTCTATAGTTAATGGCCCAAAAAGAAAAATGAG